TAATTTTTGGATTTCAAACTTTGTTTTTCAGCTTGAATTCATATTCAGCACTATATGCTATAAATTTTTGCTTGTAGTATATTATTTATAATTCTTTTTTAGTTAACAAATTCACTTGCAAAGTAATTTTGATTCTCTTGCAAGTTATTGGTTGCTCCCAACTCAAAATTTTCTGTTTTACCTTCAACAACTTAAAATTTTTTAAAATTAATTTAAATAATATATATCTAAAAAAATCTTTAATAGTTTAGAGTTAGTTTAATGTCAGGGGAAAAAATTAGTTGCATTTTTAAGTGTTTTATATTGAATTTAAATTTGCTTAGTTTTCTATATTAATAATCACTGTACATTTCACACCAAAAATATGAAGTTCTTATATTATTTTAAAAATTCTTTATTGTTTATTATATTATTTTACAAGTTTATATAAATCTTAGGAGAGTTTTCCTTAATTTAAAGTTTACAGTGCATTTTTTTTATTTAAAAAAAAAAACAATTGGTAGAATACAAAATAAAAAAATTGACTATAAACTTTCAATTTTTTAATTGAAATATTCAATTATCAATCCCTATATCAATTTATGTTATTGTTTATTTATAATTGTCTTGAAACATAACAAATAAATTGCTGTAACTTGTGTGCTAAATATAATCGGGTTTTATTTTTTTTTAAAAGTAATTATGTACTTATAGATACTTAATTCAATTATTAATTGCACACATTGTTTTACATTTTTTTAGGTTTATTATATGCTTGTATGGGTGGTGTACAATCAGTGCACACTACCGACATTATTTACCACCTTCCCTGTCATCCGTTTTATCCTTGTTAGAGAAAAAATTTCTGTTGCAGTAAGATACTTTTTTCCCCCTTACTTTTGCCGTTAAGGATCCTCAAAAAATTTTGTAAAATATTCCTAAAATTGTATGATTTGCCAACTTTGTTGCCAAATTCCAAAAAAATTAATAAATTAACTATCACTGAATGTACTAATGCTTATCATTTATTTATTTACCTTGACTCTAGTGTAGGGTCTGAAAACCCTTGAATTGTACAATTTTTGCTAAAAACCCTGTTTTTGGTTACCATGATATTCTTTGCTCTTTCAGGTTACCAAATTTTTTTTTTTTCATTACCAGATTGGTTCTTGGTTTATTTTCATGTATATTAATTTAATTTATTTTCATATATATTAATTTTAATTTTAAAATTCCATTTTCTTTTATCATTAGTTACTCGCTTGTTGGAAAGAAATGTCAATTGTAAAATTTTGATGAATCCCTGTTTCTGATTATGTGTATTAATTTTTAACACCCATCAAAAAAATTGCCAAAAATGAGAGGTACCCCCATTGTAAACTATTACCTTAATATTTTTTAACTAATGTTTATGTTTCAATATGTATTATACTAAAGTAATAGATTCTAAGGAATGAAAATTATTATGCAATAGTATTGCAGTTTATTTAAAGATATCTTATAATCAATTAAAGTATACGAAGAAAAGTAGATAATAGTAAATGAATTAAACTACATTGCTATAATAACAGCAAGAGCAGATCTCATTTCAATGTAGCATAACCAAATGCAACCAAGCCAACATGATAGAACTACCTTTTTTTAAAAATAATAATAGTTATAAAAAACATATTTGTCATAATTACAATTAGGGTATGCAAGTCATCAGCTTACCTTGGAATTCGAGTAAAATATGTGTGATTAAAAAAATTTTGTTTATTCGAACACTTTTAATTAATATGACAATACAAAACAAAAACAAATTTTGTTATTTGCCTATAAGTAGAAAAATCTGGACAGAATAATTTCTCTAATTTATATTTTCGTTTTCCTTTCACGTTTTTCTGTCTTTCATATTAAATAAGATAACTTTCTTTTACAGTTTTCTTGTTTAAAAATATAAAATATTTAAAAAAATTAAAAATTAATGCAAATTTTTTTCAGGCATTTTCCACGTTAGCACATGAAGCAATGCTTCACGCTAAGACAATGGGACTGAACACAGTTTTTACAGATCATTCCCTATTTGGGTTTGCAGATGCCAGTGCTATAATCACAAATAAACTTCTCCAAATGACTTTGAGTGTCTGTAATCATGTGATATGTGTGTCTCATACTGGGTATGCTATATTTAGATTTATTTTAATTACTATATAATAGATATATACTATATAATAGATATAGTTTAATTTTTCTTTGCGATTATAAAATGTGTATTGTTCATTAATATCTTTTTAAGGTATTCTCATGTTTTTTGTTAAATTATGAAATTAATTTATCGTAATAACTCCTCTCATTGCTATGCAATGAGGTCGTAACACACTTGTATGTTCTTCTGGTATTTTTTGAGAAACAGGCCACCATTTTGGAATCTGAGTATTATTTCTTTTTCTTTTATAATTCTGAATTTCTGTCTTTGAAGAATCAAGTTTTTATGCTCTTAGCAGCATGTTTCTCGAAGTTCTGTTACCATACCTGCCAGTTCTCCTGTTTTTTAACAAAGACTCCTGCATTTTACGACTACCACCTGTTTGCCTGTATATTCTCAACTTTTTCCATATTTGTTGAAAAAGTTGTATGCAGTATGTTAATTGTTAATATTTTTAGTACCTTTTGCGGTCAGGCTACCCTTGGGATGTTTTTGTGGTTTTCCTTTCCATGTAATGCAAATGTGGGTTAGTTCTATCAAAATGTCCTCCACAATATAAAATATCTTCCAATATTTGATTGATCCAAGAGTTTCCTTGTCTTCTGGATTGGGCTCAAAATTACAAGGCAACAGAGTTGAACACTAGTAGCCATAAACCAAAAATTGGGTCGGCTGTTTAACAATGGTTATAAAATAGTTTAAGGAATTATAAATAATAGTTTAAAAGAATCTTCTTTAGATTAAAATTTACATACATATTTTTTACTTTGCTAAATGTAAGTGCTTATGTTATTTCCACTTTTGAATTTCTCTTTTTGACTTACATGATTATACATGATATATCGCCAGTAAAACAGTAAAATCTCCGTTATTTTTTTCCTACAATGTTGGCAGGTATGTATTACCTTATCAGATATGTGTATGCTGATTGAGAATGGCAAGTTTCTGAGATACATATATATATATTCTCAGATAACATGGCAGAGTAGCAAGAATGGCAGAGTAAAGAAGAGCATTTGTTTTGACATATATGCCATTTAAAATTTTATTTTCTCTGTAGCAAACTTAATTTTCTAAAACTTTTTTTCTGAGGGAAAATAACTTTAGATTGGGTGCTTGAAAATTGATGCAAATTTTTTTAAAAATTATCTTAAAAAAATTAAAAGAAATTGAAGAAAATTATATAAGTTTTTTTTTTTTTTTTTTTAACAAATTGCCAATCTCCAAGGTTTTGCAAAAAGTTCAGAAAGGGAGAAAAAGAGAATAAAAAAACAAAATACAAAAGTAAACTGAGTTGCCCCAGTTAAGCTTTTCTACAAACAAGTGGCGACAACTTTCTTGCTTATGTTTTTTTCTTCTTTCTGCTCATAAAATGGGGGCATAGTTTGTTGGTGAATTTCTGTTTGATTAAGGATTTTCAGAAAGTAGTGTGCTGCTTTGGTTTAACTATGGAATATTTTTAAGCAGGTTTTTTGAACATTGTAATTAGTTTATATATTTTACTTTTTTATTTTGTATTCTCTCCTCCTGGACTTTTTGCAAAATCTTTGAGATACAGCGAGAGCAAAGTTTAAACATTTGAAGTGCTCTCTCTATAGAAAAGGTTTTGTGTTTTTTTTCTTTTCGGAGCTGTTACCCCCTGACGACGTAAGCTTCAGACGTCATTATTATATTTTTCATTGTTTTCTTCTTTAAAATTTTCTATTGGTTTCAATTTTCTTATTGAATTTTTACTGCTTTTCTTTGGAATTGTAGTATTTATCTGCTTTATACATGATTTTTGATTTCTTATTTTACTACAATAAATTCAAAGTTTTTTTTGTTTATTACATGCCATTTTTAAAAATTTATTTTGATTTCATAATTGCTGTTTTTACTTTTAAAGTTTATTCTTTAAAATGTACTTATTTTAATTAGGAAGCAAATGTTAGAGCAAATGTTTGTCCAAATACAATATTAGTTGTACCAAATGCAGTGGATGCAACGATCTTCAAGCCGGATTTCTTGCCAAAGCTAAAGTCAAGAAGTAAAGTAATTTATGCCAACATCTTCACCTTATTTTCTCTGTAAAATTTCATTTGTATTCCTTTTAGCTTTTATTTTCTCATATCACTTATGTCTCAAAGTTAAAAGATGGGCTCTCTCATATCTTAATTATATATAAGAGCCCGTGGCAGAATCGTGGGGACACAGCGACATTGTCGCAGAACACTACAGAGTTCTTGCAGAAAGAATTTTTATTTGGGAAGCAAACAAGTTTGATTTTTTTTATCTGCAGAATTTTTGGGAAGATTTTTTTTTCTGCAGAGCTTTTTTTCTTCCTTTTCTGCAGAATCATTTTCAAAAAATGCCCTTCTCGTATATCAGAGATGGTAGAAACGCTCATGTTTTTTTTCTTTTACTTTGCTTTGAGAATAAAAAAAATTCCCAATGACTGATTGATATTATTAAAAGTAATTTCCAAATCGATAAAATTTTAAAAAGTTAACTACACAAGAAAATTTTTGTAACAGGACAATATCGCCAATGATATCAGAATATCTATTCTTTTTGATGTATATCAAAAAAAAAAAAAATTTCTTACATTTATAATTAAAAAAATTATATGCTGTTCTACTCTGTTTATGAGGCTTTTTTTGAAAACAGGAAACGCTT